GATTTTGACAAATCATGAAGCGCCAATGTTCAAATTGATTCGCGTGCAAATGTCAACAGCGAACGAAGGACCATCTGCATGGGAAACTGTAATACCAGAGGATGAAAAGAATACATTGGAATGGGTGGCAAATGTTGGCGGCGATCGACTGCTAGTTTCCTACATCGAGGATGTCAAGGTATGTTCGTGATTTTTGTTTTCTGAAATAGTATCTGCGTGTTTTTTCTTCACTGAATCGATTTTTAACTACGGAAATCTCTCTCCAAGTTTAGTGTGAAATTGTTGGGGCAGCCATTATTGTTTTCTGACTTGATAGCATTGGTCGTTACTAAATTCTTAATATTATTTGCTTTTTTCCTCTTTCAGCTTTAAAATATTTTCCTATTATGTTGTCTTGCTAAACAGTATACTCATCTCGAATCGCCGTTCACCGCGCTTATCCCGTGGTACACAGCATGCAACATTGTGCTGCTTAATTTTTACTTTGAACCTGTGTCACTAGTTGTGAGCGACAGAACTGCGAGGAGTGGGTGCAGTGTGAACTGTGAAACCGCCAAGGACTAAATAGGGCGCAAAGAAAGATAAATAGTGACGCGCACCAGGGCAGCCGGTGCGATCATGCGTTTTGTGCAATCCCGTTCACCTAACGATTGCCTGCTAATGATTTTCACTGCGCTGCATTTTAGTCTGTGCAAAAATAGTTAAAACGTTATCTGGTTCTTAAGTTGCAGAATTTTCTACTAAAAATTTCACGCACACAAGATAATAACTTCTCTATCAAAACTTTCACGGGGCTGTATGTGGTACCCAGGGGTGCGTGAAGGCTGACTTCAGATTTGTGAGGTCGTACGTTTGTAGAGACACCCTAAAATTTGAGATTCTCAAATTCCGCAATTGCCGAGATAATAATTTTTCCCGCCGAAACTTTCACGGGGCCGTAAGTGATGCACGAGCGCATGGGGAGATGAATTTAAAACTGCAGGATTGTATGTAGACAGAAGACATCACCATAAAATTT